CCACTCCCTTTTCTTTTTCTCCTTGCTGTTCTCCAACCAGCTCTTGAGGTAACGAAAAGTGTGGAAGGGCTGCGAGAAGGGAGATTTTCTGAAAATCAGGCACATTTCTATGGGAGTTGAATGATTCAAAATTGAGTTCCACATAATTCACCAGGGATCTCTTGCAATACAAATAAGAAGTCTGTCAAGCAGTGGTGCAGTTGAAGAGGTTATTTCCGTCTTAACTCTCCTGGGCACAGCTGGTAGGTGCGATGTTTGAAAAGGGGGAAATTAAGAGTCAGGATACGGTGACTGAGCTCCCCATGATACCAGATCAGCGTTTTGGTTTTGTAGGTATATGAAAATGCTACTATACCTTTGAATTGTGCGTTTTAATTCTTGCAAGCAATGAAAAGCTGCTATGTTTTTTTTTACCAGCCTTTTGGTGACCTAGATGACACAAGTCTATTTCTCTTTGAACAAGGAACCACACTGAAAATATTGCCATTATGTTGGACTTCCTCGCTGGCAGTCTCTGCTGGGAGGAGGAGGAGGACTGAAAGCGTTAGAACAGCCAACTTTCTTTCAAGTCCTTATTTCTGGAAAATTTTCCGTTATTGCTAATATCAGCTGGAGCAACACCGAGAGCATTAGCGAAGGCAAGATGTCGGGGGCAGCTGTAACTGCTGGGGTTGTCAAAACCTGCTTATTTCTTTGCCAGGAGACACCCGGAGCTGTGTCTGTCCTGGCATGCTCAGTGTTGCTTGAGTGGACCTCTAGAAGTGGGAAAGTCTCCAGACAAAAGGCCAGTGTGGACATAGTTGTGGTCTCTCCAGGCCATGGTTGAGACATATCACTAGGGTGGTATGAGGGGAAGTTTCCATTAACCATTGTTCCCAGCTTGCATCCACCACCGCCGCGGAGCTCTGCAGCTGGCTTTCCCAAAGAGCTTAGTGCTCAAGAGCTCTCGTTTCAGCAGCTTGCACAGAGGGGCTAAGTTCTTTCCAAAACGCTTGGCAATGGTCAGCCCCCATTGAGAACACAGCTAAGCACATCAAACAGTCCAGCCACTTCACTGTTGTGAAAATTTGGCTGCTGTTGTGAGGGCAAAGTGGAGACAGGCAGCAAAGGCATCTGGCTCCTGCTGCTGAGCAGTGAGGTGCTTTACCTTCGCCCGGTCTTGGCGGCTGGTGCTGTAGGCTTCCTTCTTGGCTGATTCCTTGTGCATCACGGCCTGTGACCAGCTCTTTCGCTGGATGTTGTGACAGCTGTGAAGCTTGCTGATGTGAGGATTAGTCGGCTGCTGGGCACATGATGTTCAGCTTTCTGTGCTTATTTGACCTACCTCTGATTGCGAGGAATTTAGTGCATAAAAATAACACCCTGAACAAATTTGGCAGAAGGATGCACAGCTAAAGTGCTGTGCACACACGAGGAGAGGAGCTTGGAGAGCAGTGTAACGTGAGGCCACGTACTGTACTCCTCAGTAACAGCAGTGCCAAGTCCAGCGGAGCCCACGCTGTCGTCTTGGGTTACGATGAGTTCCAGCGCCGCATAGATGTCGTGGTCATTAGCCAGTAAACCAAGGAAGACAGGTTCCTGGCTTGTAGTATTGGCAAAACTTGATAGAATAAATAAAAAGATACCAAGTGCCAGGAGTTGCCTAATGCAAAATGCTGGACAAGGAAATACTGGTTTTTCTGCCTGGGATTTTAGACACCCTTGTTAACTCTGTTGTTCTCAGTGGAGGTCCTGATAATTTACAGGAGCGTGAGCCAGTGTAGGCTGATAGAGGTGTACATGTGGGAACACCTCTCAGGGCAATAGTCTGCAGGCTCCCAGGTGATAACTTGATTTGTCCCGGCTTTGCATTAGTGGTAGCATTCACCTTGAATGAGCTTTGCATTGGCACCTGGGACATTTTAGGGTTGCTGAAGGACCGGGTCTTTAGCAGGGTGAGCTTCTTAGGGCGGGGGAAGTGAAATGTGTGCACGTAGGGAACAAGGCAGGGTCTTGATCGTGGTAGGTTTTTCTCCCTGATCGCCTTGGAGATGCATCGCTCCTTCCTTTATTTTGCTGTTGCATCGGTAAGATGCAATACCTCCATTTCCTGTGTTTAAAAGGAGCATTTTTGTCCTTTCCTTTTTCAGATATTGTAAAATTTCTTCAGGCCAAGGATTACAAAGCTCATGTATTTGTGTAATGTGGCACATTATAGATAAGTGATAGTGTGTGAACTGATACCGTGTGTCTAGAACTTCAGCAATATTCAAATGCAGGCTCTTTTGTTGAGGGCAGTTAGAAAGCTGGGGCAGATTTCACAATCCGCTTGACTTTTAGAAACATGCCGCATGTTCACCAGAAATGCTATAAACGTTTTCAGAGCTAGTGTCTTGCTTCATGTTTATCTGCGTTACAGAATTTGCAAGATTTGTGCATGCATATGTCTGTGTGTTTGTCTGCATTCGAAAAATATCTGGCTGCTGTGGTACGAGCGTGCTCACATCAAAGGCAGCTTTCCTGCATTTAATCCTTTCGATAAGGCTGTTTCTGCCAGCCCACCTATCTGAGACGAGATTAGCCATCGGTTTAAAGCAGGGCTGCAAGAATGCCGGTGCAGCGGGCCGTTTGGGCTGGCTGTAGAACAGTCACTGGCCTGGCCTCCCCCTTCACAGACAGCCCAGGGTTCCGAACGCGCGAGGGTGCCTCGCCGCTGTCTCAGGGAGAGCCGAAGCGCCGGCGTGTCAAACGGCCCGGCCAGCCAAGCGGAGCGGGCTCTGCCCCTTCCC